AGGACGACTTCAAAAAACTGTAAAAAGACTTCATCGTGAAAATACCAAGTGACAAAAATGCATATAAATGCTTGTATAAATTGGCTGCATCAGGCTCTTGTTTCTTACTGTAAGACACAACAGTAGGAGAACTTAACATACACAATATCATCACGCAAACTGCCAACTTATAACTGACTACTTAAAAAGATAAAGTAAAATACATATTAAAATCAAGCAGCTATGCCAACAGGCCAACTCCAAACAGGATTTATCATTAGTGCTTCAGCAATATCAGTGCCAACAAGCAGTATCAGTACATTCCTATCTGCTACTGGAAATGCCATTTATTTAAGCTCCTGCTCCTGTTTGGCTTAACATGAAAACACCAAATCTCGATCTTATGACTGACCCTGTGGAGAGTTAAAAGCAAACTAAGGAATGCAGATAGGGCTGGTTTTCAGACTAGGAGTTTCATGATGCTAATAGTTAACATAATACTAGCTAATGGCTAATTTAGCAGGAAAAAGTATTAGGTAGTCAACCACTGTGTACAAATTAGGTTAGCTAACTACTATTTATGTCTGTCACAATTACTACACAAGCGCCTGATCTCAATTATTTTAACTGACTGCAACTGTTTTCCACAGCTGTCAGCTTTCCCAGCCATATGTCTGTGCTGAACAAACTGAATTTAATTGGGTGGATTTTCAACAGTTGGTTTGAGGCAAATTCATGTAAATAAAAGAAAGCAGAAAACACATTTAATCAAGACTGGGGTTTATCAAAACAACAAAAGTTCAAACTTCTGACTGGTGCTATAACATATTTAGAGGGCAGCATTTGTTTGATATTAGTATATTTGAGCTCGAGCTGGTTTTGTCTTCAGTAGGAAGTAAGACAGGTATTCAGCCAACGTTGGCCATTAGGCTGTAGTTTAATATTAAGTCTTTCCAAAGACAATAAAATTGTTCATTACAATTATTCGCATATCACTTTGGTTATTTTTGCTTTCTTATTTATTTATTTAATAAGTTAGTTAGGTGAACCTTATTAGTCCCACAACAGGGAAATTTCACATCCGCATTTTAACCCACCCGTGCAATGAAACTCCACACACACATACACTAGGGGGCAGTGAGCACACTTGCCCTGAGCGGTGGGCAGCCCTATCTGCAGCACAGTTGGGGGTTAGGCGCCTTGCTTAGGGGCACTTCAGTCACGTACTGTCGGTTCAGGGGATCGAACCAGTGACCTTCCGGTCACAAGGCTGGTTCCCTAACCTCCAGCCCATGACCGCCCCAAAGATGATGCATTGGCTGGGAAACTCTATAATAGTGAGAAAACCAAGCCAGCTAGTGACAAAATGAAAACATGTTAAATGTGCCATAATCATGCTAGTTTTTATGCTACAAACAAATGCCAATCAAAGAAGTTCTTGTCAGTATTTTGCACTGTCCACTTTGCTTGGATATATTTGATAATCTGGAGCACCACACTGCATTGGGCCTTTTTAATACTTGCCTTCTTATTGCCACCTTTGTTTTTTTGCCACTGTTTTCTGTGTTAACAAGATTCACATATGGAAACTTCTACAATGCTCAGCAATGCAAAAAGTAGTTCACTCTGTAAAACAACCAGCTCCAGATTCATTTGGCTAATCTCTATCTATTTATTAGCTGACCAATTACAAACGACAAACCTCTACCACTTCAGTAGATGACTCCCTAATTTATCCCCTGAATTACTGAAAAGATACAGAATTGGTTGTGACGTTTTCAGTTTGCAAGTGTTTTCTTGTGTTCATACGTGTGGATTTACTTATATTGTTAGCCCACAATAACGAGCCCCAGCCCACCAGCATCTCTCCTGACCCTCTTGACCACCCATCTCGGCAGTGGCTGCAGAGATTGCCACCAACGTCCACTCACGCACCTCCCTCCATCCCTCATTTGGATAAGAGGATGTTTGACAGTGTCGCCTGTTAGCTCAGTAGAGATAAAGCGCCAGATCAGCTCTGCTAATCTGAAAGACATCTCCCGAGCCTAACGTCACGCTGCTGTAGGCACGAACACGGCTCCCAAAACAGTAGCAGGGCAACACCGAGGCAGGACTAATGTCCTCTCTGGTGCTCACGGGCCCATTTCAAACCAGCGTTTTATAAAATTTAAATCAATACAACAGAAATTTCTTTATTCATTTGCATGTTAGGCTAACTAATCAAACAACGGGGCACAGCAAACAACACCGTTTTATCAGATTGGGCCCAACACTCCTGCCATCGCTAGATTGTTCCAAAGATGAGGGTAAAGATTATTCTGATGCAAAAAGAGAATGTCAATTCTTTTATATCAGTTATATCAGTTTACAAGGCAAGAAATGTGCAAACATCCCTGTTCTTTAAAGAATGTGGCCACATGACACAACAGCAGATGAAGATAAAGAAAATGAAACATAAAACCCCAAGCAAGTGACAAAGCATGTGCATTACTGGTGGGACACGTTTGTAGCCAAGATCTGATGATTTAGCTTAAAAATTTAAGTTGAAAGTAAAATAGAAAACAGTAAATTGGTATCTTTATGTTTGGAAACACGATTCGCCATAATAATTGTTTTTGTTTTGCACATAGACTAACTTGTACAATGTGGATTTAAATATTACTAACTATTTGCAAAAAGGTAGGAGTTCAATTCATTCAAATTCATTCTCGGATTTTGTGACCAAGAAGTGAATAAAATGATAAACAACATGCTGTAATTATTTACTCATAGTATTTCTTAAGTTATCTTTTTAAATATGATGAATATGATGATATACATCTTTTACAGTCATTTTAGAATCTTGTACGGCTCCATTTATCATTGTGATGCCTTCCTTTGATTGTCGATCAGCAAAAAATCCCGTCTATATGACTGTGCGATGGGTCTGTCCCTCAAGCAAGCCCCTGTAGTGACTAGCTAAGATGTATACTTTTTTAGCTTGCTGTTTTTTTTAGATATTAAACAGATGGATATTAAAGAGAATGAATTTGAAGCTGCCCTTTCAGTAGTACGCCAGATTCATTTGATTTATTTACTTGACCATTTAGCATACAACATGAATCCTGTTAGAATGGCTGCCTTATTTTTAGATTTTTAAAACACACACTTTTTGGCTGAGACATACACTTCTCAAGAACAAGGGCTAATTACACAGCAGTGGCTATATAAATCCAGGTGATAGTACATCAACAGGAATTCAAGGCTAGGCTTATAGTAACAGTACTTGCTACAAGCTAGAATATTCTAAATATGCATTAACGAGATAAATTATTAATGCCGCTAATTTCTTTAACAAACCTAACATACAACACCATATTAATATTTACTTCTTCTTTTTTTTATATATATATTCACAGCCCGGTATTCCTTGGCCACCCCCCCCCCATTTTCAGAGGACATTAAATTTTTCTTTTTCATTTCACCACTACTGTCACAACTCATCGTTTATTAATGATCATACAAATATAAGGTGATGTGGTAACACCACCCACCCACCCCCCGCTTTGAGTGAAAGAAAAAAACAGAAATAAATGAGAGACAAAACTGAAGAAGTAAAGAGAAAGAATGAAATAATAATAGTAATAATAATACTAACAATAATAATACACAACAATGGACAAACTGGACATACAATTGATATTTTACTTCAATTAATGTTTACTTCAAAGATCAGGCTAGTTCTATGAAAAATGTGGATCCATTATGACTGGAATGGCACCGGCTGACAATACTGCAGTTAAAAGTCTTATTTAGGCAAAAAGGAATGGAATGATTAATAGTGAAAAATTCAGCTAAAGCACTATTTTCACAAATATGACTAACAGCAAAACCATGCCTGCTTTTTAAAACTGTCTGGCCATTTCACTCTGTTTGACAAAAGCAGCTAAGCTAGCTAAATAGCATTATGATTCACCATGATACGACACCTGCACTCAGTTATACAAGAAAACATTTTGAGGCACTCCCCAGGATTCAGTCTGCACTACTGAATAGAGAGAGGAAAGAAAACTGACGCACTTAAAGCTAAGCAGCAAACACAGCGGTATCTTGAGTGACTGCTGTGATGACTGAAAGATGTGGTCAATTCCGTTGATTCAATATGGAACAATATGGAACAAAGATAGTGTTATCAGTTAATTGTGCGTTGACGGTTTAGCTGCTGCTGTTTATCTTCTTATTTTTCTGCAGTTCAGAACGGATGAATGGTGCGTGTGTGCTGGTCTGCAGCCCAGTGTAATAGAGATAGATTCAGAATAACAGTATCTGGTTAGCTGACAATGTCTTATGGTACTTTCTTGGCTGTTGTGATGTTCCATTTTATCCTGTACATTGTTGACTGTCATCCTCATAATAGAGTCAGTGTTTAGCCAGCAAGCAGGCTCAAGCTAGCAGGATCAGTCATACCTTCAAAGTGCACCAAAAACCACTGGATTAAGAGCCATCAATGGAGCTCAGTGACAGATGGGGGGAAAAAAAAGGACGTATGGTCTAGCATGCATAGCAGTGCTGGAAATGAATGGGGGTAAGGATGTATGGTCTAGTATGCAGGGCAGCGTCAGAAATTAATGAGGGGTCAGGGCAAAAACGCCTCTTAAAGCCATAAACTGGCTTTAATATTTCAAAGAACAGAGCAAAAAATGCTCCCTATGTTTTATACATTTCATCCTGTCATATCTGCCACCCAGATATGGAACATGGACAACGATTTTAACGCCTCTGTAGACAATGCAGCCGTCTGTGGTTGACAGATTAGTCCATGCCATATTTTTTAAAATGTTACTGCATGGTTCTACTGCAACATAGCTCAGAGTAGAACAGGCTTACTTAACATTACAGGAGGTTGGAAAAAATGTCCCTGAAAATCAACCCCTGTTGATAAAAAAGCACTTTAATTTCTGACGCTGGTGAAAGGTTAGATGAAGACAGCAAATGAGCAGGTTAAGCAGGTTTAGCGTGAAGAAGTGAAGAACTTCCAGTACCCTTAAAAACACCGCTGCTTCTGTCGGTGATAGGAGCCTTACTCTGAACGGCCTGCGCATCTGGGTTGTAGTAGAACTTTTCGTTGCACATGTTGCCTTCGCAGCAGCAGAAGAACACATCGGGGTCCTCCTTCTTCTCCACACATTCCGTGCTGAGAAACAGAGCACAAAAAAGTTTCACTGTTATTAGATGACGTGAAAACTTGTAATTTTGCTTTTTTGTCTGTTAACTTCAGGGTTTCTGGAGGGTACTACACCTACACCGCCCTTTAGAAATTAGGGAACACCTTCAATTAGGCTTTGTTCACACAGCAGGTAAAAGTGGCCCAAATTCGATCTTTTTCTTGATATGTGATACAGACGTGTTCTCTGTGTCAGTGTGAACAGCAAAAAAACATTTTTTTCAATTCCAATTCGAGACGCTTTCATATATGGTACTAAAATATATGGTACCTGCCTGGGTAAGCACCCTACACTATACCAATAAGAGTCCTTGGGCAAGACTCCTAACACTACCTTTGTCTACCTGTGTAAACTGATCAAATTGTAAGTCGCTCTGGATAAGAGCGTCTGCCAAACGCCATAAATGTAAATGTAAATGATATGCAGCAATGCGACTCAGTCTAAACGGCCAGATCGGAATCGATGCGACTTTTACGTCAATCCAACCTGACATTCGTCATAATTTCCCGCTGCTGAGACTCATAAATATTTAGGCTGATGTTTCTGTACCAAAAAAATGGAAGGCACTAGAAGAGATTCCGAACAAAACAGCCGAACGCAGCCGCTGGAGAACGAGGCTGCAGCGTCAAAAAAAGAAAGGTTTAAAGAATCCAAGGATGAGAACCAAAGAAGTGGCCGTTGCTGAATAACGTGCACTTTTTAAGGCGAACTCAAACACATTCTGGGTGATGAGTCCAGCTGTCAACCACAGGAACTTCATAATCGCTCCTGTGATGCCAGCGAAGACACAACTGTAACCTCCGGGAGTGACTGGCGTTCGTTGGTGGTCAGGATTGTATACGTCTGGACGAGCCATGTGAAGCACTGTTCTTTTGCATATGCGGCTCGGTTTAGGAGTGTGATCTGTTCAGACTAACGTTGCATACAGGTCACATTTAAAAGATACTGTGAACAGCTAAATAAAAAAAATCGGATTTGTTGAGAAAATCAGATTTGGGCCACTTTTACCCGCTGTGTAAACATAGCCTTATTTGATATTTTGCAAATAATGTTTGATTTACCCAATTTTCTCAATTTTTGAGTTTGACCCTTTGGCTAGGTCCCCCCCTCACACAATGCTACAAAGCCAGGAGGTTGAAAGCCAATGCGTGCTTCCTTCAAGACATATCAAGCTGATGCAATGTCACTGAAAATGTCAACATGCTTGGAGGAGAAAGCTGAGGCCAGCTATGGGTGGCTGTGGCATCACCAGGGGTTGAACTTGATGGGTCAATGCTCAGATGGTTAAGTGTTTAATTTTCACTGTTAATTTTCAATTCAGTAAGTAAAATACCTGCCAAGGTTTTATTAAAATAAAACATTTTTGCATTAATCCTTTGGGGATATTTAGCTTTAACAATCAGCTTCATGATCAACATGTCTTCACTGGTATAAAGAGCAGATTTTGCCTTGAATTTTTTTTTCCAAACTATTGTTAAAAGTACAACTCTTTTGGTTCAAAGGTGATTTAAACAAATTTGAAAGGCTTGAGAGCTGATGAGAGCTGACATCACAACAAGGGGATAAACTGTGTAGCTTTTAGCTTTATTTCTAAGACAACACTGTAAAAAATACTCAAAAATAGTCACAAAAATTTACGTGTGATAAAATATTCCACAGAATATAAACTTGGTTAATCACTAATGGCTAAATTACTGCAAACAAACAAAGAAAATCTGCTCGAAAACATTCTAAAAAGCTACCTTTTGATGGACAGGATACAAGCACGCCATGTTATGCGAGCAATTACTTTTTTTTTTTGACGTTTGCATCAAGCAGGCTTTTAGCAATCATTAAACTGTTTGTGCCAAAGTTCAGTAAAGACTGGAGCCCCACTCCCTAACCTCCTTTTAGTTTTCTTATGTCACAAAGCCAACGTACGAACAAATAAACCAGGGAAGGAAAAGTATATTTGCAAAAGAAACTCTTTTAAGCTGCCAGACCACATCAGTGCCGCATGCTCCGGTTAGCTTAGAGTCGATAAACAAAGATTAAGAGCACAAAAAACCCTGCACAAGTTAAACACACACACACACACACACACACACACACACACACACACTCTACTGCAAACGAGAAAGGAAGTGGATAACATTCCAGAGGCTTTTTGTTTGGAAAAGAAGAAGAGAAAGAGAGGTGAGGCTGCTCATTTCTTCGAGGCTTGTGCCGAGCACGCGCTACTGAGCTAGGGCTGGGCAATATAATGATACGTTATCATTACTGCGATAAATTACGTCATGACATGCTTTTCTACCTTTTCTATATCGCGGGCATGTAGAACACTAAACAACCACATGGATACTGACAGATTAAGATCAATTACAGAGCGTCTGTAAACAACAACCAGTGTATAGTTACTGAATAAACTGCATAATATCATTGGACATCAAAACATCATTTTATTCATTTAATTTTCCAATCAAATTTAATGCTTTTCAATACCGACATACGACCTCAGAAACGGAAAAAAAAACTACATTTCCACTTGTATTATTGTCTTAATGTTTTATTCAGACCACCAGAAAATCTGCTACACATATACAGTATTTGCAGCTGTACCTGGGAACCGTTCTTCTCAATTTCCCTATCTAGCTCCACTAACCACTCTCTTTTTCTTTTTGCCCTTCATAATTAGTCAGTTTCTTACTGTTGGCTGGATATTTCTGTTTGGTGGACTGTTCTGAAGTAGTTTACACTTACACTATGTACGTTTTGGGGATCTGGAGTCAAAACGTGTAACATTTTGTAACGTGGGTTGTGCTTTAGAGCCCTTCCCCCAGCTCATGACTCTGACGATCGAAGCGAACTGAAAGAGTATTCAAAGAGGACTTGGAGACGGCGTCTTCTGAGGATGTGAGTGAATTATTTGCTGTGCTTATCACATCTTCTTCAGTATCATGTTGATTTTACAGCATTTGATACCTAAACATCAAGCAGGATCTTCTTTGTTGGTCTGTACGTGTGATGTTTATCTGTAACGACGTGGTCAGATTGACCAAATGATTGTTTCAGGCTTCACAGGTCTGACTCAGTAAAGTTACTTTCAATTTTAACAGAAAAAAGTCTTTTACTGTACACAGATTTCAGGCATCATCTTAAGATTTAATACCTCTAATAGTACGAATTAAGTCTTTTTCAGAAATTTTATGACCTCACATTTTTTTTAAGTCTATTTTAACACTTCAGGATTCATGAGATCCCTTCTTGTTCTTCGCTATACTATTTAATTCTAAATTTGCATAAAAAAACACTGTACTCATCTTTTTGCATAGCCTTTTAAAATGTGGCACCACTGTTTTACTGGAACATTTTGTCCATTACAGCTTGTTATCAAATTTCAGACAAAAATAAATATTGTCATTCATATTATGTATTGTGATTATGTATTTATGCTCACTAAGCTACCAAGATTCACCAAAGGCAGGCAGCTGGTACGTTTCATAAAAAAAAGAGAAAAAAAAAGAGGCAATAATAATAAAACACCCCATCCAGTTCCAACGGGTTCGGGGTAAACAGGTTCAGCAGCATGCTAGGACAAGAGCCGCAAGGAGAGCGAGGTGCTACTTTTCGCGAGATCAGCCGCCTCGCACGCTATCGAAACACCTCTTCTTGACGAGCTAGCAGCAGTTACCTGTCACATGGGGGTTCATGAACAGATAAGGCCGAGTGGATTTTTACTCACTTTTATGACGGGAGGGGACAGGGTTCAAACTTCAACCAGAAAACATGTTTACACAAGGCTGCGGCGTCTTTGCATCAATATTCAGCGCGGAATGTGTTCTATCTTTAGTAGAGGCCATATGGCTAATGAATGGGGATTTACCGTCGTCTCTGCCGCAGCCAGCGCGAGAATAAAGGTTCAATGTTTAACAACTACCAAAGGTCAGTTTAAGGAGCACGACTTTTCTGTATTGTGACTGAAAACTGGCATAAACAACATTTTCACAATTGTACAACTGGTGTCCAAAAAGTTCTTTCCATTTGAAGACTTTTCCAAGAGGTTGAAAAAACTTTTTTTTTGGCTTTAGATGTCGAAAGCTGTGTAAACTCAATAAATAACATGTATTTTGCTATAGTATATTAGTGACTTATCTGAAATACACAAGAGGGTGGAAATAAAGCCATGAGTTGCTACACTGAATAAAGTAATACACTGAATTTTATTCCGTTCCACATGAAATCCATTACATCAACACCACTGTCATCAAAAATGAATATACAAATAGACGAAATAGACAAACCTGCACTGACATAATAGATTTTCTCATGTGGAAATGATGTACACATTTGAATCGAGCAAATTCAATGCAACATTCTAATCCACGGTAGGCATTTAAAGGCCCCATATGAAGGAGAACTACATTTTCCTCACTTTCTTCTTTGCCAGTATATGAAAAATATACCACTTGCTCCCCAGTCCATGTAATCCATATATGCAAACTAACCCTAACCCTAGCCCGGAAAAACAGCTAGGTTTTTCTGATGCCTATAGCTGTTTGGCCCCACCCATTTTTGCTGAAGTTATAAGGAGCGTTTCAGCCTGGACTCTTTTTTGAATGAGGTGCCATACAGGACAGCCAATGAGAACAAAGCTCATTTACACATATTTACTATATTTAGTTTTAAACTCACAGTAACAAGAACATGAGTTTCATTCTAATGAATTCAGAGAGGATGGAAAATGTTCACATGAAATGGCCATTACTTTTTTGGAACATAAACCCTCAAAAACGTCATAAGTGAACCTCAGGGGAAAAAAATCAAATACCAAAAAAAGCAAACTATAAGCCCTTTGAGGGTCAAGAAAAGTACTGTTCAGTGTGTTCAAAACAAAGGTTACCTGTCGTAGCAGTTGACATCATCCAGCCAGCAGCCTTGCTTCACCACTGCCACCGTCCCGGACACGTTCCGCCAGGTGGCAAAGCAGTGCAGACGCTTATCTTTGTCTCCGACGCACGGCTCGATGCTGCGGTTTCCCTGGTTCTCCGAGTTCGGGTTGTAGTTGTAGAGCACACACTCTTGTGTCTCCGAGCGGCCCAGAATGGCACCTGCGAAGCACAGAGATTTTAACGTTAGACACAAGCTTGTTTTGTGGGCTGTGACAAGTGGTGATCGATGAGCACAACTTGGAGGCGAACGTGGATGATGCAACTAGTCTGAAATACCAAACACTCAAATCCCAACATTTTCTGTGCCCCAAAATCCCACATTGACAGGAAAATCACTCAAACCACACTCTACAGAACAGCACAGACTCCAGAACCCCTGATTCACAGAAATCTACATTAGATCAAATATAAAATCTCGGTATGCGCTTGCAAATGAATGATGCTTTGCATCAGTGACACTGTTTGCCATTGTTTATTCAAAACAAAATACACTTGGGTGGCCGTCAACAGAAATGTGGGGGGGTCCAATAATTACAATCTATAATAATTATATTTTCCCCTTTTATCATCAAATACTAATACAGTGCTATGAAAAAAAAATTCAGTCGATTTGTTCTATTTTTGCTAATTTGTCACATTTAAATGTTTCAGATCATCCAACTAATTTTAATATAAGATAAAGACAACACGATTAAAAAAAAATAGAGAGCAGAATTCATTGGACTTGTCATCATCTATGACAAGTCGTCCAGATCCTGCAAAACAAAGCAGCCCCAGACCATCACACTACCACCACCATGTTTGACTGCTGGTATGATGTCCTTATGGTGGAATGTGGTTTTAGCTTTACGCCAGATGTAACGGGACCCATGTCTTCCAAAAGTTCCACCTTATCAGTCCACAGAATATTATCCCAAAAGTATTGGGGGTCATCTAGATGTTTTTTGGCAAATGCTTCTTTTTGGCCAGCAGTGGTGTGTGCGCCTTGCAACTCTCCTATGGATGCCATTTTTGTTCAGTGTCTTTCCTACTGTGAAATCGTGTACATTGACCTTAACTGATGCAAGTGAGGCCCTCAGGTCTTTACACGTTGTCGATGCACGCTTGATGAAATTTTGGTATTTCGGCCACTCCTAGGAAGGTTCACCACTATTCCAAGTTTTCTCCATTCGTGGATAATGGCTCTCACTGTGGTTCGCTGGAGTCCCAGAGCCTCAGCAATAGCTTTGTAACCTTTTCCAGATTTACAGGTAGATTTCTATATTTTTTTTTTGGCATCTGTATTTGAATCTCTTTAAACATGGCATCATGTGCTGCTTTCTGAGACCTTCTTGCCTGCTTCACATTGCTGGACAGGTTCTATTTAAGTGATGTTTAGATTCAACAGGTCTGACAGTAATCATGCCTGCGTGTGTCTGGTGAAACTGAACCCAATACTCAACTGAATTTGGTTAACTAGTTGATTTAGTTGCTAAGGGGCCAATTACCTTTTCACAGAGAGTCAAGCAGGACTAAACAGCATTTTTCCTTTGATAAATGAAATCATCATTTAAAAACAGCATTTTGAGTTTACTTGGGTTATATTTGTCTAATATTAAAAGCATTTTGATGATCTGAAACATTCAAGTGTGGCAATATACGCAAAAATAGAAGAAATTGGTAGGGGCAATTTTCCACAGCAGTGTACATCATGGCATCCCTTAATAAATCAATACATAAAATGTATAGTGTAGGCTCTATAGTGTAGGCTAAACTATACTTCCTATTATCCCATATTATGTTTCTGCTGTCACTCATTTCAAAGACTGAGAAGCTGATCCCTTTTTTTAATCTTCGAAGTGGCAATATTACCAACTTTCTTTTGAATTCAGATAATATTCTAATGGCTACAGGTTTTGTGAATGAACTGGCTGAGTAAATACCACATTAAAAAAAAGTTGAATAAAGGCAAACAACAGTTAGATAAGATCTAGGCCTCTACAAGTCCATGCAGATTCTCATATTCATCCACAGAGGCCTCAGGCGAATAATCCTCTGGATTTAAAATAATCTGAGAGAGTGAGATGCACCGATTTAATTTTAAACCATTGCAGGGAAAAAATACTCTGTGCCGACCACATGGGTAAACAACAACAAAAAAAAATATAATAACAACACGATTAACCCGAACTAACAACAAGCTGTGGCTTTCATGACCAAGAGCAGGCGAACTCTGGTTGGAGGTGAGCTGAAGGTTGGTTTCATAATTGCTTCTGAAACCCGCTACAATTCAGAAAACAACATGATGTGCGCGCATGAGGTGATGGAAATACGATATCATGTGTCACTTTTGTCAACGCGTATGTTTATTACACAGACATACAGAACCAAAAACAAGTGCTGTAATCGCTCCAAAATACATATTTTCATTAAATTCAATTTTATTTGTATACTGCTTCTTCTTGATTAATGAATAAGAAATTACCAAACCTCTAAATGCACGTATCGATGAGGCTTATATTGAAATGACCTAAATTTTCGTTGTGTTTTTGCACCTTGTATCACAAACTGGTAAAACTGTGTTAAAAATAGACTACTACGATTACTCATAGAAGGGCTTTTGTTAACAATAAGAAATGCTGAACTCCTATCAATTGGAGCAATTAAACAACTAAAGCACAACTAAAGCCGTTCATCATTCAAAAATCTTCAGCTATGATACCAACTCAGAAACCACAACTTCAATACAGATTCCTGAACAATACTTTTTTTCAATATCTTCTTTTAAAGTGAAAACAGAAAGTGGTTGTGGCTTAACCAAGAAATGAGAATGAGTTGCAATAAGCAGGTATATTTACAGATGTCAGTCTAATTAAGAAGGACTGATAAAATACATAAAATATATAATTTAAACAACAATTCCAGATTTAAAGCAAGCATGTTTACTGGCTCTCTCAGTGCTGACCAACTACTTAGGAATTTCAATTATGTATTAAATGACATGGCATTTTCCGGTACTCATTAGTGTTGAAGTAATTTGTTTAGAACCATAAAAGTATTGAATTTCAATACCCAGTCCTGATCACAACACAGCTGATTGGTTCAAGGACAGATGTTCTACCAATTAACTTCTGAAAGACACATAGTAATTAGGACGATAAAACTATTGTGGTTCAACTCTAAATTTTACTAAATGTGAAAACTACCTGGGTGCATTTCTAAACAACAAAAAAAAAACATTATAAAAATGAAAAGTAGATATTTAATTAGCTGTGCCCAAACGTTTGACAGGTGCTGCCAACAGTAACCAATGAAACAACCAAGGCATGACACACATTAGCTGAAACGTAATGAGTGGTTTTGAAGTGCATTCAATTGTCACACTTAAGCCTAAATGCTTACACACTGCTGGCATTTACATTGCGCAACACTGTCAATCCGACCGGTGCCTCGGGCTAAAGGGACCCGGAGCGATACCTGTGGTGACATTCATATCACCCAGAACGAACAGTTCAGGTCTGTGGCCAGGTATTTAAGAACTGGTTGCACAGGCTAGGTGAAGAGACTGCTGGCGCCACCGTAACAGGTGGGTTAGGGGGGAGAGCAGTGAACAATACAGGTCAAGCAGCAACAAACCGAAGCAACCAGCTAACTACAACAGCAATCACACAAGGACATTTGAAATATGACCTACCGGTGCTCAAGTAGAGCTGTTAGTGCACATTCCTTAATAGTCTCCATTTTCATTTCTGTCTCTCCACTCACTGGGACTGTTGGTAGCTACCATTAACAAATGCAAATGACTTCAGAGTGCCAGCACTGATCATACTTCAAACCGAATAACGCGCAATGCGAGCTTATTCGTTCGGAATTCGACAGGTGAGGCCGTGGCAAAGGGAATCTAAATGCACTGTGGCACTCTCATGCTAATTTGTGAACATGCTTAATGTTCTGTAGCGAACGGACAGCACCGGCGGTGTTACAAAACAGCAGAAACGACTACAGCTGTGGTCTCTGGCAGCTAGCGTTAGGCGAGAAAACTGATCAATTTAGAATGGATGATCTATTCGCATTCATATTTTCTACTCTTATGATCAGAAAGCTAGATTTTACAAAAAAAGTTCAATGAGCAAGGGTGATTACACTATATCCTAATACCAGAGGTTGACATTTCCTGACATTGCCATGGCCACATTTCATATTTTCACCACTACAAATGCAAATGTGCTGTGTCTGATCCACCCAGACCAGTGCAACACACACTAACACAACACACCACCACTATGTCAGTGTTACAGCAGTGCTGAGAATGATCCACCACCCTAATAGTACCTGCTCTGTGAGGGTCCATGGGGGTCCTGACCACTGAAGAACAGAGTAAAAGGGGGCTAACAAAGTATGCAGAGAAACAGATGGAGTACAGTCTGTAATTGTAGAACTACAAAGTGCACCTATATAGTAAGTGGAGCTGATAAAATGGACAGTGAGCGTAGAAACAAGGAGGTGGTCATAAATGTTATGCCTGATAGGTGTATATAAAATAAACATGAACTATACCACATGCTAATGTCATGAAATCAGAGTAGGTGCATGTCGGGCAAATGCACATTTCTGGAGTTCTTTTACTAAGAAGAAAAGCACTAAAGGCCCACGCCTATCATAGTCTCCTTACTTTACTATCAGCAAAGCAATCCACATCAAGTACTCACTACTCCTCAGGGCATCTTGGAAGCATGATAGCTGTGTCAAATGACAAAAAACAGTTACGTCATTGGTCATAATTCCAGGTCTACTGTAGCCTTCCCTTTCTGGCATTAGGCATCTCTTCAAGTCAAGATTAGTCATGGAATCACACTGCAAAAGAAGCGTTAGCCACAGAATTGTGTGTGCTTTTGTTGTCTTATTGTTTATGTTAAATATAGCCCTCTTTATCAAAACTAACAGACACCGTCCAACAGATCTTCAGTGAGTCATTCGTATCCAAAATGCTGAAAAACAATGACAGCAAAACGGCTCATTAAAAACAAATTCAAACCGGCAATCACAGCGTAAATTATTTTGTGGAATTAATTTGCTAATTGCCCCTTGGTGGGGATAAAGCCAGAGGATTAGTTCCAGAGACACAAGTCACCATTATCAGGATTACAGGGAATCTGCTGGAATTACTGTCACATCAGTTT